TCTGTGTTTTCTTTGGTCTGTCTCTCAATCCTTTGAAGATACCTAAAGATAATTCTTTTGAATTCCTTATCAGAGAGTTCCAATGCTGCTTCTTCATCAGGGATGTGTTCTGGGGCTGTATTGTGTTCCCTTGTTTCTACCACTTTATCTTTCTTCTTTATGTGGACTGTGATAGTCGGTTGTCTCCGGTGCCTCGTGGTATTGTATTAAGATTACTGTCAATTGTTTGTGAAGAGCAGTCAATGGTGATCCAAGATCTTTTGGTGGTTTATCATTGGCCCGTTGGTGGAGAAGGAGGTGGTGGCTCTTGCTCTGTAAGTGAAGTTGCAGGAGGTGTGGGTGTACTTGTATCTTATGGGGACAGTTGCTGTCTCCCACTCAGTTAGACAAAAATTACAATTAAATAACCATCAAAAAGCTAAAAGCACATGAACAAAAAGTACAACATGTAATCACACAGGAACAGTAACCCAAATAAGAAAAAAGGAAGAAAAAAAAAAAAAAGAAGAAAACAAGAAACCCTGCAATATCTGGTGATAAGGCACTGAGAGAAAAAAGGTAGAGAAGAGAATAATGAAGAAAAAAATGAGAAAATTTCAAAAAATAAACAAGGAATGGGGTTAACCATGAGAAGAAAAAGGGAAAAAAGAAAAAAAAATTAATCAGGGACTGGGGGGAAAAAAACGTGTAAACTAGGGCCTGGGAGGGGAAGAACAGTATAAAGGACAAAAGTATTAATAATAGTAGTAGTTTTAACACATAAAAATACAAGCAAACTAAACACTAGATAAAAGAAAGAGACAAAGAAGAAAAAATAAAAATTAAGAAACAAAATCAGCAGAGGACAAGGCAGGGCATCGAGACTCTGTCTGAGCACACAGACTGGGATGTAGTTCCTGCAGGCCCAGAAAGTGGGTGAGAATGTGGGATGGCTGCACCTGCTTTCACCAAGCAGGTGGGGGTATAAGAGTAACAAGAGAAATGTCACACCTTTTCAGTCATGCAGTTCCAGAGAGTTCTTGGGGTTACTAGAAAGCAGAAACTTTTCTTAAGCCCCTGGAATCTGGTAGAGTGCTGTCTCTTTAGGTTGTCTCTAGTTGCTGGTTACATGTTGATTTGTTTTGTCTTGGTTTTATGGTTTAATATTTTGAAAAGGTGAAGCTGGTCTGTTTTATTTTACTATTGATTCAGGTGTGCTGGGTCGCTCTGCTGTTTTCTTTGTGATGGTGGAATCACCGTGTGTAGTGTGGATATGTGTTTCTAGTTTACGTTAAGAGGGTTTAGAGTTCGAAGTGGGAGGTTTTATGGTAATTGGCTGAATATGGTTTCTTCTATTGAATGAGTGACATTATTGGCGGAGAAGGTGGGAGCAGAAGAAGGAAAGCTTGGTGTTGCTAGGGTTGGTTTCTAGGGCTTTGAGCAGGCTATTATTGATGATGTATTTATTTTCAAGACTGCAGCTCAACCTCAGGAAAGATTCCTATTGTTAGAGCATCACAAATTTCTGCCAATTTCAGGAACACTCAAAGACCCCATTTCCGGCGCCCCACAGTGCCAAAGCACAGCTCCAAGGCAAAATTCGTGGGACTGCACTCAGCTGGTTTCTTTGTTCTTTCTGTGCCCCATCTGCCCGTGGTGCTGACGCAATCCCGCCAGACTGATAATGGCCTGCTCTGAAGTTTGTCTGTGATACCGCCCACCTGCGGCGCCAAAGATGCACACAATTTCAGGTGTGTTGGAGTTGGGGGAGTACTTGCTAGTCAACTGTGGTCCCGATATCCATGGCAAAGAAAAGCACGGTGTCTCCCAGTCTGACCCAAGCCTGTTCTGTGATCCACTGGAGGGGAGGGAGCTAGCCTTTCTAGCTCAACAGTGATTTCTCCTCTGAATCTCAGAGGAGGTGTCCATGCCTGCCAGCACCCAGATGACCCAAATTACCGACAAAGTCAGCTGCTGGAGGCAGGTCTCTGCTGCTGCCCGCTGGAATATTGTAGTGGTCGCTGGTAAGCTGCTACAAGGTGACTTCCTTCTTGGTTTGGGGATCTCAGGTGGCCACCCTTGCCTGGCAGACAGTGACTGTCCCAGGAAAGTTTGCAGTGGCCTCTCTCGGGTGCCTGTCCATCCTCTATGAGTAGCTCTTTCCTAAATAATTTCCCTGTGCCCTTCCTCTAATTCTGCTCTTCTGTGTTTGGTGCACTCTGATTCAGTGAGCTGTTCAGAGCACCACAATCCCTAATTCAAAGTGCTGTATCTAATTTTCAAAGTCCTTAGACGCCAGAGGGGAAAAAAGTGTGCTGGTCACTGGTGAGACTCCATTTTGAATCCATCCTCTCTATTTCTTGAGGCTCCTGTCTTTATTCTTTTCCAATTTAGTTCTATCAAGCAAAAATTAAGCTACATATAAGGAATTTCTACTTTCTACTTTATAGGGTTCAAATCCACATTTTTTTTCAGCCTGATTTCCAAAGCTATCCATTTGTGATGGTTAATGTTATATGTCACCTTGGCTAAACCATGATTCTCAGTGGTTTGGCAGACATTGTGTAATCATCTCCATTTTGCAATCTTATGTGGGCAGCCAATCAGTTGGAAGGGGAGTTTCTTTGGGGGTGTGGCCTGATTCCAATATATGGATGTTCTGACAAAACTCAATCTTTTTTCTGCCTCCATTTCGTCATCTTCTGACTTCTGGTTCTTGGCATGTGAGCCAGAAGCCTGTCACCTGACTTGCAGATTTTGGATTCATCAGTACCTGCAACCATATGAGTCAGGAGAAACCTTAAGCCTGATACCTGAGCCAGGAATTTAGTACTTGCCAGTCTTCACTGGCAAGTGAAAATTGTGTGAGCCATTTCCTTGAAATAAATATCTTAACATATATATAAAATATATAACTACTATATATATTATATATAGACACACACATACACCTATATACATACACACACACACATATACACACTTCACTGGTTATGCTCTTCTAGAGAACCCAGCCTAAGACACTATCCTTACTCATCTCTATGAACATTCTCTACCTATTTTCTCTAAGAAAACATTTTCTTCTGCTTCCAGGTATTCATTGTACGTAGAAGCCAGCCAAATATTCTTGCCATACACTATAGTCAATTTGCAAATCCCTTCACTGTTGTCTTTGTACATGCTTTAGAGAAGTTCCTATTCTCTTTATGTCCTGATTTCTCTTTGAAATCTCTGTTTACAACTCTTTTCCTCTAACAAAGTTTTTCCAACTATATCCAGGTCATATTAATTGTTGCTTTACTACACAGCCTTCAGTGATTGCATTTTTTATATTATTTACCTGCCCCAACAATATTTTTTATGTTTATTTGTATGCTGCTCTGAACATTTTCTAAAAGATCTTAATGTATATCCCCTTGGATCACTGACAGCATGTTACTGTTTTTCTCTATTGGACTTAATCTAACAGCACTGTCATACAAAAAGAGTTCTTACTAGGTGCTGTGACTTAATATCTTACATGTAAGAAGACTCAAAAAATTTTGTCTGAAATTGAATTGAATTGGCTGCTATCTTCAATAAACTATAACTGATGGGGAAATAAAGGAAACGGTATATTTAAATTGTAATTAGTGTTTAAAATCAATAGCACTTCCCATAATTCTAGTTAGTATAACATTTGCATGGTGCCTTCTCATATGTATTCTACTGGTACTTCTGCTTTTCAACTCCTCCTGTATCAACTGCCCTTAGAAAGAAAAACCAAAGTAAACTGAAAAGTATGAGAGAATGCAAAATTTCACGTAAGACTCACTCATATCATATATGTATCTGGTATGAGGCCCCCATAATAATATTCTTCACATTGAGAGCTTTATTTTTGGCCTCAACGATCAAAGGATAATAGCATGGATAATTTCTATCACAGAGCTTGCAAATTTTACTTACCTAGACATTTCAGCAAGGAGAAACAATAAAATAAAGTACCCTAGTAAATGTTTCTACCAATCCTATACTGTCATTAGACTAATACAAAATTTACTTTTTCTCAGACTATTACATAAAAAATAAATTACATAAAATGGTATTTTGAATAAATTTTTTGTCTATTATATTAATTTTTATCATGATACGTAAACAAATTCTCATATTGTTTTATTTAAAGAACAAATTACAAAACCTGTTAAAATCCTTAGTGAATGGAAAAGCCAAACTTGATTAATACTTTAAACAGTAACTTACAGGATCAGCAGGTCCACAGAATTCTCTAAATGTCTTCGTGGAATTACTTTGTTGAATCTCCATTGCTACACAAGGGCCAGAATACATTTCTGTCACCATCTCCTATAACATAAAAGTGTCAAAAAGAATTTAATAATCTTTTACCCTTCCTTCTTTTAACTGGACCATTATTCTGCTAATCTAAAATTCTAAAGTCATCTTTGACTTATTTTCCGCTTGTGTCCTACACACCAACCAGTTTCCAAGCCCTGTCTAATTCTCCTATATATTTTTAGATATGTTCCCTCATCTCCTTTCCTACCACTACCAGCACCTGAAATTTTCATTATTTTCTAGTACATCTTCCTATCAAATATGTCTCTCCCCTTGAACACCAAATCAAAACAAAACACACTACCACTGAGTCAATTCTGACTCATAGCGACCTTTCTTTTGGACAGAGTAGAACTGCCCCATAGAGTTTCCAAGGCTGTAAATCTTTACAGACGCAGATTCCCCCAAATTTCTCCCATGGAGCTACTGGTAGGTTTGAATCTCTGACCTTCCGGTTAGCAGCCAAATGCTTTAACCACTAAACCACCAGAGCTTCTTCCCTTGAACATACTGCAGTCAAATTAACATTCCTAAAAAGGTAATTTCAAAGTGTTTCTCCTGAATAACCTTTTAAAAAATATAATGAGTTCTAACTATGAGGAATAACAGGAGCCAGATTTATCCTCTGACCTCAAACAATTAGAAATTAGACAAAATCTATGAAACAATAGCTTTCATATGCTGGAAGCATAGGACTGTGATCCCTGAGGGAAGGGAAACAAATGAGGTAAGCCCTATGACCGCCCTATGTTACTGTCTGCAGATAGTTTTCAGGCCACAAGATAGGCAGAGAAAACACAAATAGAACCCAATGGTCTCACTGAGTTGAAGCAACAGGGATTATAGTTTCAAAAGGCTAATGTAGGTAGAATTTTCAGTATAGAATAGAAGAGGGGAGCTCTAGAAAGAAAAAGCTACAGAGATCTATAGAAAGGTACACTTGAGTCTTTGGCTAACATTAGTTACGTGTATATGTAAGAAGGAGCTCTGGTGGTGTAGGGGTTAGGGCAACTGGCCTTTAACCAGAAGGCTGGTGGTTTGAACCCACCAACTACTCCGTGGAAGAAAGACTGTGCAGTCTGCTTCTACAAAGATTTACATCCTTGGAAACCCAGTGGGAGTCACTATGAGTCAGAATATACTCAACAGCAGTGAACGAGTGTATGTAAGAAACTATCTAAGGCTAGAGAAGGAACCACCAGAAAGCAGTAGATAAAGCAATTCACAGAGAAAATACAAGTCTGAGAAGAGTTTGTGCTTCTACCAGTTAGAGTGGAAAGCGCTCATAATACACAGAGCATCAAGTAGGGTCCTCAGAAGAGGACTGCCCCATATAAGTTGGTCTAAATTAGCACTAGATTAAGGGATACTTTTTACCCATCCTATACAGCTTAAAAGCAAGCCTCAAAACAATCAAATTAATCCCAAGTAACTTAACTCAATGTCAGAACAAAGTCAAACATTCTTCAAAGGAATACAACATCCAATATGTAACACTGTAAGTTTCATAATATCCAGAATCCAAAAACAAAAACTAAAAAATTACCAGACATACAAAGGAGGAAAATACGAACACTATCCCCATAAGAAAACTCAGTAATTATAGCCAGAACCAGCAATGACAGATGCAGTTGTAAAGCATCTATTATAAATAAACTCCATTGTTCAAATTACAGAAGAAAACATGATCATCATGAGGAGAAAATAAAAAATATTTTAAAAATCCAAGTGGAACTTCCAGAGGTGAAAAATGCAACATGTGAACTGAAAAATACTCTGGATGGGGAGAAATGGAAAAAGACATTGCAGATCAATGAATTTGAAGGTATGCATTAGAAATGCTCCAACATTAAGTACAGAAAGGAAAAAGAATGAAGAAAAGTGACTTATGGGACAATATTAAGCAGTTCAATACATGTATAATTGGAGTCTCAGAACAAGAAAAGAGAGGGTTATGTACAGAAAAATATCTGAAGAAGTAATTGCTAATAATTTTCCAAATTTGACGAAACCATTAAACCTACAGATCCAACAAAACCCCAAGAGAAAAAACATAAAGTACAGCAGAGTAGGGAACATCAAAATCTAATTAGCTTAAAAAACTAGTGATAAACAGTAAAAACAACAACAAAAATCCTTAAAAACAGCCAAACAAAAAGAAAGTCCTATTACATAAGTGAAGAATAAAGATAAGGAAGATAACAGACACCTTGTCAAAAATTATGTAAACCAGAAGAGGATAAAGCACCATCTTTAAAATACTAAAAGGCAAAAATAAATAAAATAAAATTGTTTACCTAGAATTCTATTCCCACGTGAGAAAATATGTTTGATTTGTTTTTTAATGAAGGAAAAAGAAACTTTTTCAGACAAACGAGCTGAGAGAATTCATCACAAGCAGATCTATAGCATAAGAAATGTTAAAGGAAGTTCTTCGGGCAGAAAGAAAATACCAGATGAAAATGTGGATTTGTACAAAATAATGATAAACATGAGAGAAATTATAAAAATATTTTTTGTTTTTATTTAGTTGCTCTGAAAGATAAGTGATTATTTACAGCAAAAATATTATCAATGTATTATAGGGTTTATAACATATATAGAAGTAAAATATACAACAACAAAGCACATAGGACAGAAGGATGAAAGAAGATTAATTTAAGATTTTTATATTTCAAAAAGCCACCATGATCAAAGAAAAGTACCTCTCATAGTGTCTGGAACACTCAACAAATCTTTATCCTCCTTGAATGGGAAATAGAGAGAGATGAAAACAAATGTCAAGATTTTGAATCAGAAACATGGTTAGAGTATGTGAAGTATGGCAAAGGAGCCAAGGTATCAGAAGCTGAGTAAAACTATAGAACAAAAGATGTGGCCAGATCATATAACCATGCAAGGCATTTTAAAGACATTGGAAGATTTTTGATACACAACTGCTATCAGGCACCTTGAGTCAGTTCTGATTCATAGCAACCATATGTACAATAAAAGGAAACACTGTCCAGTCCTATGATACACTACATAAAAGAAAATATACACTTTATTTCAGAAAAAAAAAAAAAAAACACTTGTGTTAATCCAAACTCAGTCATCATACCTCTACGAAATGCCAGAAGTTAAAAAACAGAGGAAAATGATTTCATAATTCATATGGTACATATAACCCTACCCCATAAGAATTCTTAAATGTATCTCCCTAAAGTCACTTTGCTATTTCACAAAGGTCACATATGTAATTGATGTTTATGGATAATTAAATTGAGTCTGATTTTCTGTCTCATAAACACACTTTTCAAAAAGTAAAGGAGTGAATTTTGGCTGGCTGGCTGGCTGGCTGGCTTGCTTTCTGTGTCTGTGTCTTTCCTTCCCTCCCTTCCAGTAACAATAATATATATTGTTAAAAATACAGATATATAGGGCTATTCAAAATGTACAGCACAGAATGAGAAGAAAAAAATGTTGTACAGAGGACTCCATCCAAAACATAATGTATTCCTTGAAAAAGGGACTAACAAAAAACAAAATGTGTATGAACTGTTGAGTGGAAAACCAATTTACTCTATAGACTTCCACCCAAATCTCTCTCTCTCTCTTTCTCTCTCTCACACACACACACACACATAAAGTTAATTTTTAAAAAAATGTACTAAAGAGTTTTGAGGTCACCTAAGTTGTTAATTAAGTTATCCAAACAAACAAACAAAAAAAACCTTTTTGTCTTCCTTTTTGTAACCCTTTGACTACAGTTCTTAGGTAGCTACATGTGGGATCATTTTATTTAATGTCTATCTTCACCAGAACATAAGCTCCATGAATGCAGGTACTGTGCTCTTCTTTTCATTATTACATCCCTAGTATCTAACACATTGTCTGGCAACATAACAGATACACAACATAATGTATTGTGAATAAATGAATCATAATAACACTATGATACACTAATCATCACCTTTTTATGATGGAAAATCCTGAAACAGCAGATACAAGTGTAAATGCTAAACATGGAATCCACTACCCCAAAAAATGTCAGAGTAAATATATAATAACAATAAGAACAACAACAATAATAGCAGCCAATATTTACTGAGCACTCTCAATATGTGAAGGACCTCTGGTGGTACAGTGGTTAAGGCATTTGGCTGCTAACCAAACAGTCAGTGGTTCAAACCCACCAGCCACTCTTTGGAAGAAAGATAGGCAGTGTCTGCTTCTGTAAAGATTTACAGCCCTGGAAATCCAGTGGGGGTCGCTATGAATCAGAATAGACTTAATGGCAGTGAATATGGTTTGGTTTTGGTTCTCAATATGTGAGACTGCCTTACATGATTTATTTCATTTAATTTTCACAACAATCTCTTAAGGTAAATACTAGCATTATTTCCATTTTATGATGGGTAGACTAAGGCTGAAAGAAGGTAAATAACTTATCTACTATCACACAACTGATAGATTATGGATTTGAACCCACAATCTGATTCCACAGGCAAAAAAGGAAGGGAACTGCACAATGAATTTAGGGAAATAAGAAAAGTTCATAGCTTGAAGCAAGTTAGGCAAAAAAAAAAAAAATACCTAGACTAGAAAAGTGTTACAAAACAACACCTGGGTACAATAACGTCAGTCATACATCACTATTTGCATATTAGTTAAGAGGATCATTTCACACACACACACACACACACACACACACAACAATGTACCTTTAAATTTAGAACAATTAAATGCACTTACTATTGTGACCTTAAATATTTTACTATATATTTTATAAATAAGAGCCTTAAGACAAGGAAGGTAAAGTGTTTTACTGGAAAGTAAGAATCAGATCAGTCCCCTATTTTTGTACTTTAAGATTACATTGATCTTGTGATTACTTTTATGAGACCTACTTTATTGAATTAGATAAAACTCGTAAAAATAAAGACATCTAGTGGTATGCAGCATTTAAATTTTTACCTCTTCACTGAACTTGAGTCCTGGACATTAGCTGTATCAACAAATAAGAAGCC